AGCAATAGAAAGGGTAGTAACCTACACAGTACACATTGTGGATACAAGGTTTTTGTGGAGGTCTACAAAGACATACACTGTCCGACAAAAACAACGCGAAACCAGTTCTTTAACAAAAGCCCATTTTATGCCACCGCAAAGATAAACTGATCACCTGATATCAGTTACCTTGTAAATAGTGGTGTTGAAGGGGTGTACAATTTTGCCAATGCAAGTGGCGTTATTGTTCGGTAGTTTGACGTCCATCACGTGTACCCCGCTTGCACTCTTCACTTCAAAACCGCTGCCTGAAAAAAAAGTTGCTGTCTTAGGCAGTGGTCTGGAAGACAAACACTGTCCAAATACACTTCATTAATGAACATATATCCTTTTGGTTTATACTTGGCGAATATTTGACTAACCGAACAAACCAGCAGCATGAAACTTCATAACTTTTTTCCGAGTCGCTTCAAAGATGAGAGATGCGGTGCTTTCTTTAGGACCTTCTGAGACCTCATAGAGCAGTGTTTTAATTAGACTTAGCAGTTTTACTGGGTCTTCACCAAAGAAAGACCTACTAATTGGACCATCTACTAAGTTCATAAAAGCTAACATGCTCATTTGCCTTCTGCCACCTCTTAAGTGTACGAAACCATCGCGGGCACACAAAACACATCCATGCATTCAACACATATTTCAGCATTTGCATGCAAGCAAAAAAACATTTAATGATTGAGGAGAAAAACAGGCTGATCTTACAGCTGATTAATCGAGTGAGAAGGGAACACGTAGCTCCTACGAAGCTTCAGATGTGGTGGGCCAATACGTATTGGCTTGTCAGGCCCAGCTCCCGAACAATATCACTGGTTGAGCGAAATGTCTTGGCCTTAACTGCCACTTAAAAAAAAGGTCCCCAGCAAAAAGACCCATCCTCGAAGTGCATTCTTCTCGCTCATTTCATATTTGCGAATCTACAGTTATTAATGCCAAATAACAAATTCCATGACGCAACATCATTTCGTTTTGTGGCAAATCATTGTTATTGTGAATTCGTACCTCTTTTAACTAGAATTTACAAAATGTCAATTAGCAAACTCAGCGAAAATTTTTAAAAATACTAAACCAGTGAGCAAAAACTTTAGAACTGAAAAGATCAACATTTTCGATAATTTTTTTGAACATAAGGTCTACTCAGTACTAAACTAAAACTCCTGATAAGTGATGCAGGCACAATGACCAAGTTGCACAATCACTCACCATAAACGATACTCGATAGCATGCGAAC